GTAGGGAAGAAGATAATTCGAATTGTTGGAGGAAAAAAAAAAAAAAAAAAAAAAAAAAAAAAAAAAAAAAAAAAAAAAAAAAAAATCGAGGGGGGGGGGGGGGGGGATGAAAAAGTGATTAAAAAAAGAAAAAAGTAGGTGGGAAAGAGAAAATATTGAAGTGGTAGGTGAGGGAGATGATGGGGTTGTAGTTGGGGGAAGAAAGGAGGAGAGGAGGGTGAGAGAATGAGAGAGAAAGCTATGAAAAAGAGTGAGAGATTAGTAAAAGAAGGTGAGTGGAGAGAGAGGAGAGAAGAAGATGGTGGGAGATGAGTGAAGAGRGAAGGGTATGAGAGATTAAGGGGAAGGAGAGGAGAGAATTAGGGAAAAGAAGCAAGGAGAGTGAGGTTGGGAGAGGAAAGAGTAAAAATATGGTAGTGGATGGAGAAAGAGTGAAGGGGACGAGAGATTAGTGGGGAGAAGAGGAGAGAAATGAGAAAAGTGGAGAGAGGAGTGAGAAAAGGTGATGSATGAGTGGTGGTGAGAGAAAAAGAAGGTCAGATGATGAAGGGAAGAGAGGGAAAAGGGAGTGGGAGAGTGGATTAGGGATGAGAGAGCTGATACCCAACTCTTGGGTAACCAAGACTCCAAGAGCATACAACTTCACCAAGATCCACAAGATCTTGGCCTTCACACACCCCTTGGGAGAAGGGGTCTTCAAGGTGGTGATGAACTTCTGTTGCACATTATCTGGGGTTGGCTGAGATCTTGATCAGCCACCCAGTTCCACTGTAGTGCAGCCCCCTAGCCAGGGGGATCTTCAAAAAAATCCTCAGCAAACTGCCACGTGGCACTTTTGGAGATGGTCACGGGTCAAGAGAGGAGATGTAGACGGCAAAAACTCTTTTGCCAATAACTTTTCACCCGCTGGGTGAAATTTGGCAAAAGAGGTTTTGTTGGAAAGCCTTTTGAAGCCGCTTCCAACGAGATAAGGCGCAGCATCAGCCACCGCCTAGAGTAATAGCGCTCGTTGAAAAAACGAGCGCGGGTGGTTATTTTGGAGCTTTTAAAACAATTGCGATATTTGAAAGATCGTAGCTCATCAACCACTGCATAGAATTAAACGATCTATAGCTTGTTGA